ACCACAGACCCGTGTTCCGAACCTGGATCTTTTGGTACCGCCGTTCTTGAAGACAAGGCGGGTGCTGATCCTTCTCTGATGTATCTAAGGGTCTCACACACCAGTCCTCAAGGACCTCCGCTCTCCCTCCTCCTGAGTTCATCCTCACCCAGCCCAGCGGCTCAGCTGAAATATCAGGACTCACCACCAGAGAAAACTGTTTCAAAATGCCTGCAGTCGGGCCAGTAGACAAACCCCGGTGGCGACTCGTAACGTGAACAAAAAGATATAATTCCCATGGTTGGCAGGGTCACAAAGGAAGGAGAGATTTCTATCCGTGGAAATGCAATCACGATAATAGCAGTAATAATAATAGTAATGTCATAATGATAGACCAGAAACTATATTTGCGCAGGAGGTTCTAGGACATAAAGGGGAAAATTGGATCCTTTGTTCTTTCAATTAGCATACATCGAGGAGAGTATATCTCAAGGTCAGAACATCAGAAGAGCCCTGCAGGGCTGGATCAGGCCCGAGGGAGGCACACCTAGTCTGGCCTCCTGTTCCCACAGAAGTCACATGCCCCTGAGAACCTAGGAATCGAGATAGACTGCCTCTGGAGCTGGAGGTTCCATAAGACCATCAGAAGAGCCTGGTTGCTGGATCAGACCAAAGGGGGCCCACCTAGTCCAGCATCCTGTTTTCACAGCAGCCAACCAGATGCCCTATTGCCAGAGCACAAGAACACTTCTCCCCTCCTGCCATTTCCAGTAATTGGCATTCAAAAGCATGTGGAGAGCACAGCCATCAAAAGCCCTCTCCTCCTCCACGAACGTCTCCAGTCCTCTTTTAAGGCCACCACTGCTTCCTGTGGGAGGGAGTTCCACAGTTCATCTCTGGACCTGACGTCTTCTCCATTTCATCCCTACTGCTTCTCAGTGGTCCCATTTGGTTTCCAGGTCCTGTTGGCACACAAACTGGCTGTGAATGTTAGAAGGAGTGATGTTACTTAGTTATTTTTGTGCTGCATTTCTCTCCCACGTTTCCCTCCCAGGAGCTCAAGGTGGCTGGCCTGTGGTTCTCCCCACCTCCTCGTTTAATCCCCACAACAACCCTGTGAGGCAGGTTCAACTGAAAGAAGAGCTCACCTCCAGTGAGAGCTTCATGGCCGAGAGGGTGTGGGGATTCGAACCCTGGTCTGGCACTCTCACCACTTGGCCACCACTCACTCTCATTACAGATATTGCAGCTCCTCACCCACAGAGACTTTTCCCCAAGCTGTGCAAAGGCACAGCAGACAACAATTTGGGTTGTAATCCCCTTTTACACCTTGAAACTCCCTGCCTATTGATATCATGCAGACACCTTCCCTGCCCACATTTCAGCGCCTGCTAGTTTTAATGTGTTTCTTTTTTAACGTATTCTGTTTCTTAAGTTGTTTTTCATTCTTCTTCTTGATAATCTCACTGTTTTCTATCCTTTTGTTGTTTACAATCAAGTGGTATATAACTTTTTATGAAATGAAATAATAAGTGAACCATTTCCCCCCACTGACACGGAGGGCCAGATTTAGGTTTGATGAGGCCCTAAGCTAATGGGGCCCTTTATATGTCCAGCTGTCCTTTGTCAACAATAAATTGTCGCTGTTTTTTGTGTTGAATATATGCTATATATATATGGTAATTTATGGACCTAATAGGTATCTAAATCCATTTGCACATGCAGAATGTAGGCACCCTATATATAGAAATGAGCAAACCAGTGATATTTTAGTGAGCAGGCTAGCAGGCGGGGCCCATGACTTACATCATAGGAGCCTAGACAACACAAAACACTGTTGCTGTATGTAGGTTTTATTTTAAATTTTTTTAATGTTATATTTTGGAAATGAACAGGATTTTTTTCTTTAATTTTTTTGGGGGGCCCCAAGAGTATGGGGCCCTAAGCTATAGCTTGTTTAGCTTATACGTAAATCTGGCACTGTGGGCTGGGGGGAGGCTGGAAAAGACCCCAATTCCTTTTGGGTTTGTGGCCTCCGTGACCGTGGCAGCCGCCCCTTGGCCCCGGATCAGTCCCTTCGATCCCCCGTGCCCACCTGGGGGGGTGTTTCCCGGGGACCCAAAGGGCCAGCGCAGGTGGAGTGATTCAGGGCGCACCTTCCCCAGAGGATGTTGCGCGAGAGATAAAGGGCAAGCCCCAACTCCTCTCTCAAGGCACAGCAGCAGACGGTTGAGGGAGCTACGCCCAGGCGTGTTTCCCTGGAGGGGATCCCAGGCCGCTGCTCCGCAAAACACACACAAACACACATCCCATGCGCCATTGCAAAGGTGGCAGCAAAGGAGCAGCAGCAATGTCTCGTTCTCCTTCGGCAGGTCTGGATAGCTCAGTTGGTTAGACCACAGTGCTGAATAACGACACGATACTCTTTATTGTCATTGTCCCATACAGAACAACGAAACTGAAAAATCTACATAAGACATTCAAAAACCAACAAGCCTGCTATCCCAGCTATCCCAACCTGGTTAGCCCCCTAAAAACTCTGATACCCCATTTTAAAATACAATATACTCCTATACAGATTCCTTACAATGCATTTAAAACCAAAATCACATTTGGGTAGAAACTGTTTCTCAGGTGGCTTGTTGTTGCTGTTGTTTAGTCATTTAGTCGTGTCCGCCTCTTCGTGACCCCCTGGACCAGAGCACACCAGGCACTCCTGTCTTCCACTGCCTCCCGCAGTTTGGTCAAACTCATGCTGGTCGCTTCGAGAACACTGTCCCACCATCTCGTCCTCTGCCGTCCCCTTCTCCTTGTGCCCTCCATCTTTCCCAACACCAGGGTCTTTTCCAGGGAGTCTTCTCATGAGGTGGCCAAAGTCTTGGAGCCTCAGCTTCACGATCTGTCCTTACAGTGAGCACTCAGGGCTGATTTCCTTCAGAATGGAGAGGTTTGATCTTCTTGCAGTCCATGGGACTCTCAAGAGTCTCCTCCAGCACCAGAATTCAAAAGCATCCGTTCTTTGGCGACCAGCCTTCTTTATGGTCCAGCTCTCACTTCCATACATCACTACTGGGAAACCATAGCATTAACTATACAGGCCTTTGTTGGCAAGGTGATGTCTCTGCTTTTTAAGATGCTGGCTTTAAGTCCTAGTCTTTATAACCCTGTACCTTCTTCCAGAAGCAGAAGCTGAAAGAGATCATTTCTGGGGTGTGCACTATCCTGCGCTATCTCTGCAGCTTTCTTATGGCACCTGGAAGCGTAGATTTGATCCAAGGTGGGAAGAGTGCACCCAATTATTCTCTCCGCAGTCTTTACAACCCTGGACAGCATTGTTTTTCCCCTGACCGTGCAGCTCCCAAACCACACACAGAGACCATAAGTTAATACACTCTCCACAGTACAATGGTAAAATGCCATCAACAGGTCCTTTGAGAGACTGTTTTTCCGGAGGATTCTCAGAAAAGATAACCTCTACTGTGTTCTCTTCATCAGGTCTTTGCTGTTTTCTCCCCAGGTTAGGTCATCTCTCAACTCCATTCCCAGAAATCAAAACACCGAGACCTGTTCCACGCACTTCCTCTCAACAATAAGTGGCTGAATATTCAATTTACATTTCCTAAAGGTTGCAGGTTCGATTCCCTCATGGGACAGCTGCATATTCCTGGGGGTTGGACTGGATGATCCTCAGGGCCAGCCCTACAGTTCTGTGATCTAACCTAAATGTCAGGACTGGCTATTAGACACAATGCCTATGTTCTCCATCCTCTGAATGCCAGTTGCAAGTGGGGAGAGTTGCTGCTGTGCTGGAGTCTGGCTTGTGTAGAATTATAGAGCTGGAAGGGACCCGGGGGTCATCTAGTCCAACCCCCTGCAATGCAGGAATCTCAGCTAAAGCATCCGTGAGAGACGGCCGTCCAACCTCTGCTTAAAAACCTCCCAGGAAGGAGAGTCCACCATTTCTCGTGTGAGACCATTCTGCTGTTGAACTGCTCTTACTGTCAGAAAGTTTTTTCCATATGTTTCGTTGAAATCTCCTTTCTTGTAACTTGAAGCCATGGGTTCGAGTCCTACCCTCCGGAGCAGGAGAAAACAAGCTTGCTCCCTCCCCCATGTGACAGCCCTTGAGATATTTGAAGATGACTCTCGTATCTCCTCTGAGTCTTCTCTTTTCCAGGCTAAACACACCCGGCTCCTTCAACCGTTCCTCATCAGGCTTGGCTTCCAGACCCTGGATCATCTTGGTCACCCTCCTCTGCATAGTTCCTCTGTCAATATCCTTGCCTAGTTTCAATCATTATTTTCACCATGTAATGTATTTTATTTTGCTTTTATTCCGTTTTATGGGTTTTATCTTTTGAAATGGCTTCGGCTGTACAAATAAATATTTGTATTTGTATTTGAAATTATGTGTGATTAGAAGCACCCTTCTCAGGTTGGGCCAGGTTTTTACCCCCCCCCCATTCCCCTAAACAGGGGGTGGGAAAGGAGGCCTCTTGGCCTGAGACTTTGGAGAGGCGCTACCAGTCAGAGCTGGGAGAGAGGACAAAGAGTCTGACCTCACCTAAGGCAGCTCCTGGTGAGTCTTGAGGGAATGGCCATAAGGGCCCCTGCTTGGCATGCAGAAGGCCCTGCTTCAATCCCCCACAGCATCTCTAGGTAGAGCTGGGGGAGAGAGAGAAACCCCTGCTGCCAGTCAGTGTGGGTAATACTGAGCTACATTGACCAAAGTTGTATCAAGCAGCTTCCTATGTTCCTCTTTATTTAGAATCATGAGGACTAGCAGGCTTTTAGAGGGGAAGAGACACAGCCTAGTGGCAGAGCCCCTGCTCTGCATGCAGAAGGTCTCAGCTTTGATTGCCAGCAGGTAGGACTGGGAGAAACTCTGGAGAGCTGCTGCCAGTCAGTGTTGATAATGCTGAGCTAGATGGTGGTCTGGCTTAGTATAAGGCAGCTTCCTGTGCTTCAAACCTCCATTCAGAACCACAAGGACTAGAATCTTGCTTTATTTTTAAAGGAAGGGCCATAGTTCAGTGGCAGAGCCCCTGCTTGGCATGCAGAAGGCCCTGGGCTCAATCCCCTGGCAGCATCTCCAGGTCCCTGCCTTCCTGCTGCTCTTGCCTGCTTGCACCAGGCCATCAGAGTACCTTGTGTCCAAAGGGGACATACAGAGCTTAGAGGAAAGGCTTAATAATAATCATAGTTTCCCCAGCCACTCCGGGTGGCTTCCAACAAAATACTAAAACAAAAACTGCAAATACAAACTGCACATTAACAGATAGCCCTTAAGAACAATTTTAAACAACCCCACCCACCCCAAAGAAAACAAAACACGCACCTGAGTTAAAACCCCATCCCCATTAAAACCATAATTTTAGCGCAAGGGGTCTGCCCCACACCCTCTTTCCACCCCCAAAGTTGTGGGACGCCTAAGCTGCGATCCCTGAATTGCAGCGGGTTGGACTAGATGACCCTTGGACCCCCTTCCAACGCTGCAATTCTGTGATGCCATGGGAAGGGGGCAGGAGGTGCGCAATTGCCTCTGCCAGACGCACGCAGGTTTAGCTACAGGCTGGCTCCGCCCCACGCCTTCACCCCACCTGCCGAGGGTCGAGCACCTGCCCAGGTGACCCTCGGATAGCTCATCCCCACTCCTCCCGAGTCGCACCTAGGAAAGTTGAGAGGCAGGGGGAAGGGGTGCGTGGAGGCGCGCAGAGAGCGGGAGCCTTCGACTTCTCCGTCACTTTTTCCCCGGCCTTCTGAGAGGCTCGATTGCCCAAGGCTAGGAGTTGCTGATATCATAATTGCCGCCTTGCCTCCTTCGCCAAATGCCTCTCCGCCTCACCTGGAGAGCGCAGCAGTCTCCGGGCTCCCACAGCGCGGAGAGTAGCTGAGCCGCGCGCGCCGCAGCAGAGCCACCCAAGGGCGCCTCACTCCGCATGACCTTTCCGCGTCTCGGAGGTGCTGCTTCGGAGCAGAGAGGTAAGCCGAGACCTCTCCGCCGTCCCGTCACTTAACCCGGGCAGCGCGCAACTCCCGGTGAAGGGAACGGGGCCCCGAAGCCTCTCCAGCTTCCCGGCGGCGAGGTGAGCAGACCCTTGGCACTCTGTGTATGCTTGTGAGACATGTTGCTCGCTAACGTCTATGAGGCGGGAGAAACTGATCTTCCGCTTTCTCCAGGAAGATCCCCAAACTCTTCCATAATTCTAAAGTTTGGCTGTTCCCCTCACTTGGGGAAGGAGCCGGTGTGACGGATGGATGGGGCATCCCCGTTGGTAGTTATTATTCACCGCGGTGACATTTTTGCAGGTAGCTGTCAACTGGGCATTTGACCTCGCGTTCCCAGAAATTTGCGGATGGAAGATCCGGCAGCGGTTGAGGGGGTGTTTTATTTTGGTGGGGAGGAGGAACGACAGTGCAAAGAAACAACTTTAGGAGTTCCAGAGTTCCTCCTGGGCAGCAGTCACAGAATTGGAAGGGACCACCAAGGGTAGAATCACAGGAATCACAGCTCAGAGACGGGGTGGGTGGCGGAGGCAGAATGCCCCAATTGAAAGATTGCTGCCCCTTCCATCATCCCCTCATCATGCGATGGACTTGGGAGTAGCCACAAATCGGTCAACCTGGCGCCCTTCAGCTGCTTTGGAGGCCCCAATGCAGCTGCCCAGCTGTTGTGTTGGGCCCACAAATATCTGGGGGAGCCCAAGACGGCAAAGGCTGCCTTTGAGGAATTCTCTGAGCAAGCGACAGAGGAGTGAGGTCCCGGCAGGAGGAGACCATTCTGGTGCAAAGGGGCAAATAAAAGCTTGGCATGTTTGGGGCAGTCACTTTTCTTCTGGTGACCATGGGGAACCGATTTGACCAAGCCAGACACTTGGCTCCATTCAGGGCAGTGTTGCCGACTCTGACCAGCAGTGTCTGCCTCCAGGCTTTCAGAGGCAGGTTGTTTTTCCCTCAGCCTGCTTGAGACGGGACGGGGAACCTTCTCTGCATGCAAAGCAGGTGCTTTTGCCATCGAGCTGCCACGCTTCCCTGAAGCATAAAGTAAGATCCTAGTCCTCAAGCTCCAGAAGAAGAGCTGGTTTAATGAGCCACACAGGGAAGTGCCTTCGACTCGGCCTCTGGGGTCTTTCCTAGCCGTACCTAGGGTGGTCTCTGTGCAAAGATGGCACTCTGCCACTGAGCAAAAGGAAATATTCCCGTGCAACCTCCTCCCTGGGCACTGTCCAGGTGCCCACCCCTTGACTTGGAGAGCGCTAGAGCAGCAAGGGCCAGTGGTGGGCTTGGCAACATTGCCAGCTCCTCAGCCAGCGCCCAGAGGTAAGCTAGTGTGGTGTAGTGGTTAGAGCATCGGACTAGAATATAGTAGAGGTTGTTTTCTGCTGCTCCAGAGAAGCGGACACGGAGCAATGGATCCAAACTACAAGAAAGAAGATTCCACCTAAACATTAGGAAGAACTTCCTGACAGTAAGAGCTGTTCGACAGTGGAATTTGCTGCCAAGGAGTGTGGTGGAGTCTCCTTCTTTGGAGGTCTTTAAGCAGAGGCTTGACAACCATATGTCAGGAGTGCTCTGATGGTGTTTCCTGCTTGGCAGGGGGTTGGACTCGATGGCCCTTGTGGTCTCTTCCAACTCTATGATTCTATGATTCTAGGGTTCAAATCTCCACTTAGACATGAAGGTCTCACCTTGGGGGCCAGGCACTGCCCCTCAGCTTCACCCACCTCGCAAGGTTGTGGTGGGGATTAAATGAGAAGGGGTGAGTCATGAATGTCACCTGGAGCTCCTTGGGGAAAAGGACAGGATATAAATGCCACCAGTCCCTAGCTGCACCAGTTGCAGAACAACCCTCAAGCTCTGCTGACTTGGAGTCGCTTGGAGGATTGATTGATCGATGGGTGGATTTTACTTATATACCTCTTTTCCACAATGAGCTTTGCCCAGAACAGTTTACGCAGTGGTGTCCAAAGAGGGCCAGATTTGACGAAGTGAAGGGCCGTGGGGGCTGACCAAAGTTATTGACCTTTTTTTAGGATTGAAGTTGTTGGTTGTTGTTTTTTTACAATTTTACCCCAGATTAGGCCCCCGAAATAGACTTTGGACATGCCTGGCTTACAGCAACCTATTGAAAATACAGTTGTACAAAACATGGAGCCGATCAGTAAATCCAAAAACGACAAAAGCCAATAGTTTGGCAAACAGAATAAATTCAGTATTGCAACAGATAAAACAGAATAAATTGCAACAACAAAATAATCCAGGCTTAAGTACATAAATGCAAAGCAAAAGAGTGTTAACCTCCGTTGCGACTTCAGATGCCACGGAGCACCTCGAAGCGGGCAGGTGCCTGGTGAGGCGGCTGCCAAACCGATGCACCTTGCTCTCCACTGGCAGCAGCCTCGCCACGCCAACAGGTGCACAGAGTACCAGGGCAGCCTCATGCCACACCCCACCTTTCGCTCGGCTCTTCATCCAGAGGGAAGGAGGCAGGCCCAGGCAGGCATTGGAAGCATGCTTGGTGTGGAGCGCTGGTGCGAAGGGATGGGAGGATTGCAACAGGGGACCCAGAGGCAGGGCTGGGCACTCACCTTTTCGGCAAGCTGGAGCTCTGCAGGTCTCTAGCCCATATTGGGGCAAATTGTGGGCAGTAATCGTTCCGTGGCTTCCCAAGCCCTCTCTGTTAAGTGACGGAGAAGGGCAGCTTAAGTGATTGACAGGGTGGAGCAGCTCCCCTGTGAAAAGAGGCTGCAATAGTTTGTAGACTTGTGGAGTTGAGAAGGGAGGCAATGCAGGAATCTCAACTAAGGCATCCCCACCTCTGCTTAAAAACCTCCAAGGAAGGAGAGTCTGCCATCTTCCGAAGGAGTCTGTTCCACTGTCAGATGGCTTTTGCCATCAGAAAGTTCTTCCTGAGCTTTAGTCAAAATCTCCTTTCTCGTCATTTGAATCCATGGGTTCGAGTCCTCCCTTCCCGATCAGGAGTGAACAAGCCTGCTCCATTCTCCATGGAACAACCCTCTAGATATTTGAAGATGGCCATCATGCCAACTCTCGATCATCTCTTCTCCAGGCTGAAACATCCCCAACTCCCTCACGAGGCTTGTGTGGTTTTAGTTCAGAGCAAGGAAGAGAGGGCATTAAACAGGGGTCTAAGGCAGGGGTCAGCAACCTTTTTCAGCCGTGGACCAGTCCACCATCCCTCAGACCTTGTGGGGGGCCGGACTACATTTTGAAGGGGGGAAAATGAACAAATTCCAATGCCCCACAAATAACCCAGAGATGTATGTTAAATAAAAGGACACATTCTATTCATGTAAAAACACGCTGGTTCCTGGACAGTCCACCAGTTGGATTGAGAAGGCGATTGGGCCACATCCGACCCCCAGGCCTTAGGTTGCCTACCCTTGGTCTAAGGCTGCCTTTCTCTACCTGTGGGTCCCCAGATGTTGTCGAACTACAACTCCCATCACCCCTAACTATCAAGGCCAGAGCTCAGGGATGATGGGAGTTGTAGTCCAACATCATCTGGGGACCCACAGGTGCAGAACCACTGGTCTAGGGTTACACACGGTGGTGGTGAGAAGGGGGTCGGCCACTCTCATCATATGGGAGCCCAAAGGCCTCACCCGCCAAAGCTGAACATGGGAAGATTCAGGACAGGCAAAAGGAAAGAGTTCTTTCCAGCGATGGAGTTCACTGCCACAACAGCAACCCTCTCCTCTCTCCTGAGTGTTGTGCTCAGGTCCTGCAGGTGGACCTTCCCATCTGCTTGGCTGCTCTGGGGACCTGATGAAGCCCTTGTGTTAACTAGAGGATGCAACGTGCTTCGTCAGGGTTGTATCCAGCATGAGTCATACTCAAAGTAGACCAGCCGAAATGATGTCCCAGAAGGCAGTGGACTCTCCTTCCTTCGAGGCTTTTAAGCACAGGTTGGTTGGATGGCTGTCTGTCTGTCAGGGATTCTCTAGCCGTGACTCTCGCATTGTGGGGTTGGACTAGATGGCCCTTGGGGGTCCCTTTCAACTCTAAAAGTATCTAATTATATTAGTATTAGTATTATTATTTCACTCCATTAGTCGCTAAAAGACTAGC